CGAAAGGCTTCTTTCTGAACTTCAATACTGACGGTACCCAGAAGAGCGAGATACAATTTATCACCATTGAATTCCAAAAAATTCTGGATATTCCAGATTAGGAATTTAGATATAATCAAAGATTCCTCGGCCAAAATCACATTGACGAGATCTATGAAGCGATGGTGATATCAAGTGAAGCGGCCATTGGAGAAAGGGCAACAGGCAGGATGGGGTTGAGCACATCTCCGTTGTATGAAAAACCAATATTGTTGTTAGTGGCACTACGTGACCAACTGCATATAGACTCATCGGGTAAGGTTGTGCGAGCAAGAAGGGTTACTCCTGATGACTTTTACAAGAAACCACTAGATAAGTACTTTTGGTACCCTCTCAGTGGTCAACACAACGTGGCAACATCACAAAGATGTTTTCGCAAAAATCCGGATGTGGCAAAAGAGTTGCGGCTGGATTACTGGACAGCTAAGTCGGTTTATTATCTAGACCACTTCATGGATCACTATGGGACGTTGAGCATGTTCCAAAATGTGAAAGACAAATGGAACACTCCGCCTCATCAGAGCATCGTTGTTCGGGATATCAGGAAGTTGTGGAACGCGTCCGACTGTCCTGAAGCCAAAGGCGGGCAGGCAACCGATGTAAAAAATGCGGAGTATAAAAAGTTTGCAGGGAAGGCTCTTAGAGTGACTGGCCTTGATCATTACATTAGTACTTCACTCGGTCAGTGGAGTTCAGAATGGTCCGACTTCCTTGGTCCTTACATGATTTGAGCTAGGTTATTGGACGACGTATTTCAAAAGGTGGAGCAGGTATATGCGGCTTGGGAAAGCGGACAATTGTCGGGAAGAGATGCTGTGAAGCATGTCACCAAACAAGGTGAAGCGGAGAAAGTACAAAGGCCAGGTCCCGATTTTGAGGTGAAGGGTGTATCTAAAGTTCTTGTGCATTGGATACCAAGTACAAAAGGACCAGGTTTCCTTGTTCCAGTGCATAATCCGGATGTGAGATTGTGGAAATCACTTTCTACTTTGGGGAGGCGTGCGCGGCTGCAGATCTTATGTGATACTAGGAGGTACAGTTATCTTGGCTCCAAAGCAAAGCAGAGTTGTGAAAGACGTCGGGTTATATTCCATGGAGACATATGTTGAAGTCGTGAAAACGGAGAGAGCAATGTTGTGAATGTTTCATTACTTTGTCTTCGTTTTAGACCCAGCCAAAAAGTCGTCAGATTGGAAGGACCGTTTTTTCATGGACCTGGCTAATTTATTCAAGAACTATCGCGATCAGGGCCTTACATATGAGAGATGGGTTGATCAGAGGCAGCATTTGAAAGGTTTGCCTTGGATAAAGTCATTCCCGCCAACACTGGGAGGCGAAGATGAGAAAGGCGAACAAGGTTTTGAGAAAATAAAAATTATCGTTGAAAAGTGTCCTCAACAATTCGAACATTTTGTAGAGAAGTTGTTGCATACGTCGGCAATACGAGGTTGAGAGAGCATTCGTTTGTCCGGACAAGCAAAATATATACACTTTCAAAAACAGGATGTCAAGTCTGTTTTTGTGTCTTTCCAATGAGATCCTAACGATGTCTCTGGTGTCGTAGATTGGAAAGAGATCTACAGGGTCATCCGACATCTGACATGCCATACCGCGGTGCTTTATTTGTGCCATCCAACTCAAATTGTCAAGTGGACAGAGCCCGTTTTTTATGGATTCTGGAGATTCATGCAAATGGTGGGAGGGGAGTATTGGACGCTGATATGCTTCATTCCGCGCTCCTCTGAGCTTACCTTTTTCAGGCGGGTGGTGTTGTGGGATATTCACATATCAGTTGCCAAGTGGACTCGACGACATCAACAGAAGGTGCGGCATCTCTACAAGGTTGCAAATTTGCATGGAGGATACAGACAGGATGGTGGTCATTATGTACTTCAATGACGGGGACTACCATCGAAATACAATTTCGTTGTTCGAAGATATCCAATCATAGGGGTCATCTTCTGGTCCTCGAGCAATTGACATTTCCACATTTGTGCAGCGATGGCGAAAGTCAAAGATGCTGACGGATGTAGTGGAGAAGAACTTCTCCCAACGAAGTGAAAAATGACAGGTATGGAACCGAAAGAAAAAGTTGTGTACGAAGGAATGGAGAGGGAGTCGAACGCAATGATAGAGACGTTGGAGCACTTTTGTTCAGTGGATGAAGCTATTGTTTTTTTGAGAAAGGGTCATGCAGCGTTGGTGTGGGAGCTATTGAAAACCCATCGCCATTGCATAGTTTTAGAAGGAGAGGACATGATGTTCGACTTCCTTGTGCAATTCATGAACAAGATGGTTGGCACTCGAGATTATCATGCGAGATCCGAATGGACCCGAATTGTGTATTAGCACAAAATTTGTATGATGTATCGCAACCGTCAGGACTCACATCTGCCAGCTGGAAATCTGTAAAGTCGAACGGGTTATAGCCGCACTTCCGCTTCTGAGATGCATTGCCGCACCATAATGACATGTCGTGGTGGTTTCTTTTGTAATTTGATAATCTCTCCTTTTTCTCTTAATAGGGGTCTGGAACGGGTGTGCCAATGGTGAATATGCGTGAAACGTAGCAGCGACTAAACTTGCTTCCAAACATGACCTCGACTGACAGGGGCACAACCATTGTGCAAGGATTGTTGTCAGCCGGCGCATTATCCGATAGGCGCTCATGCACTTCTAAGTTCTAACGTCCATTATCGAACCATAAATGCATCATTCCCCATGGTCCTTTTTGCAATTAGTGAGGCCCTAATTTTCCTTCAAAACACGTCCAGAACAGTGTGCCAAGGGTGAACGAGCGCCAAATCCAGATGCGAGGACATATAACGCCCATTCAGAGACAAGCTTCAGTGAGTGGCACATGACTGTTGAGGACGGGATCATAACCGCTCGGACGAAAATCAGTTCAACATGTTGACCATTCTGCCCATCTTCGCGTGTAGCCTAACTTTCGCTTTTGTGGACCGTTCGTCGACGTTGTAATCGCCATTCCAACAGTTACTGGCTCAGCATACCTTAGTTCCCTATGTGTGAAATTGACTCCTTTGGCTTTGCAGATAACTTTCACCGCACCTTCACAATTATAATGGTTTATCACGTGACCCCTCTAACAAGGGTTTCAACAGTCTTTTCTGTTAATACATATATGGCGTCGATCTTACAAGGGTGCTAGCATGTTGATCAACCTGCTGGGCATTCCGACAGACAAGTAGCAGGTTGGCGTGTCGACTCTATCATGACCGTTGACGATGGAGTAATAATCGTCGACGCATAAACCGGTTGGCTAACGTTGTAAGGGTCAGTTGAACAACTAACTGCTCAGTATAGGCCTCCCTGTAATTTGGGCGCAGCATAAAGGAGGCAGAACTTCGACGTGGCGCATCGGCAAAGAGGGGTGAATAGGGGTCCTCCAAACACAGCACAGGAAACTAGACCGACTACTGATTGTGCTGGTATAGCCTAGCCTTGGTTCCGTCCAACCCGAAGTTTATTTAGAGTTGCAGAGTGGCTCCGTCCGGTCACCTCAAAAATAACCAGAAGGGGAGAAGGTGATTTCCAAGGGATTGGGGTGCTGGGGCGGGGGAGTGGGAGTGGGCCGCAGGGGTGGGGCAGGTGTCATAGGCCCTGTTACATCGGCAAAGATTGGTGAAAAGGGGTCTCCAGACGCAGCGCAGGAAAACTCAACAACTACTCACGTGTGGGTATAGCCTAGCCTTGGATACGACAAACCTGGAGTTTATTCTGAGTAGTATAGTGGCTCCGTCCGTTCACTTCAAAAATAGCCAAAAGGGGAGAAGGTGATTTCCAGGGGGGTGGGGTGCTGGTGCGGGGGGTGGGCCACTGGTGTGGGGCAGGTGTCATAGGCCCTGTTACATTTGCAGGTAGATGGGTCGAGTCCTCCAACCCACAATCTATGGCATGGTTTGTGGCATCTTATTCATGTTGCCAGACCCTTGCCCTTTTGTGTTTTTTTTTTGTTTTTTTTTTAAAGCTATGTTCTTCTCTCAATTTCACCTCACACTACCTACCTACCACTACTCCTAATTGTAGGCATACGGGGAACCCCGTAGCAGCCAGAACCGTGTTCACGAGAGAACATGCGGGCGCTGCTCCCGACCTGCAGGTGGGCGATACCGGCTAGGGGACAGCCGGTAGCATCAGGGACAATGCCAACAGGACCAATCCCTGTGCCTCCCCTCAGGTCCCCTCCCCTACGAACATCAGCAGACTCTGCTCAATGCCGATCGGGGGATCCAGTGGTCTATCTCTAGGTGGCGGGCGCCAAGCATGCCCAGGAAGGTACATGAGGCCAACGAGGATTGAACCCACAACCTCCTGAATGCCGCTTGCGTGCCTTACCAACTGAGCACTTGGCAGTGAATGTATTGGTTTATTCCCATTTATGTAACTCCTCGGTTCACATTGTCAGCATGAGTTTTGGGTCCATTACAAAAACTGAACAAACAAAAGGTTCACGAAATGTGCATTTATCATTTTGAGAGAAGGTTAACAGAGCCCTAAATTTTCAGGGCCTTTTAATGGTCTTTGTAATAAAACCTCCCCCACCTTTTAAACCACACTTGTCACTAGTCCACACAGTGGATACTGAATAAACCAAAGGCAAAAAAAAAGAAAAAGTTGAAAAAAGGACCAAAGGAGCCTAAAACCTCAAGGCAAAAATGTGTTCTCAACTTCTCAACTTAATTTCTCATGCAAAATTCGCTCTTTCCAGTTTTTCAGGATTTCAGGATTTTCAAGATTTCCAGTTTTTCAAGATTTCTAGTTAAAAAAAAAAAAGAAGAAAGATTTTCAGGATTTTCAGGGCTTGGCAAAAGGCCCAAAATACTAAAATAGTCATCTCCAAGACCCAACAAAAACAAACTTGGCACACACAGAAAGTGGGGTTCAATGTTAACCAGTTGTGACTAAGGCGGGATCAATGCTTTGCTATTTCTGTGCAGACAAAGAGAAGAGCACTATGGAGAAAAAAGTGATGGAGCCATCAACCAGAGGCACACCAAAGGATTTGCGAATCGATGTCAATCATCTTGAAGTTGAAGACAATGACGATGAAGAGGATGAAGATGATGAGGACGATGAGGACGGTGATGATGAAGATGATGATGATGAAGAGGATGATGAGGACGAAGACGATGATGATGATGATGAGGATGAGGATGAGGATGATGATGACGAAGATGACGATGAAGATGATGACGACGAGGACGATGACGAGGAGGAGAGTGATGAAGAAGAGGAGGATGAAGAGACCGATAGTGATGAGGATGTAGACGAGACAGAGGATGATGATGATGATGATGATGATGGTGACGAGCGAAAAGGAGGCAAGTCCGAGGACAACGCCCCTTCTCGTGGCATAGAAAAGGGAAATAAGAGCAGACAATCGAGGAGGAGTGAAATCACACACCCAGATCCTCTTCTCACTATTGAGGGGCACAGCATTCCAAAACCAAGCGAGAACAGTGCATCATAGGACATCTTCCGCGCGCTGCTGATTCCTCATGGATTGATCGGAGCAACCACATTTCCAGGCCATATATTTTGGCCATGACACACCATTATAGGGGTCAAGGAGCAAGCACATTTCAAGGTCATAATTTTTGGCCATGACATGCTATTCTAGGGGTCAAGTGAGAAAGAAGAGATGGGTGGGGGAAATAATACAAGGGTAGTAGGGGGCTGAGGGGGAAAGGACCAATTTGGACTGTGAGTGTTCTAAAACCCCTGCAGTATTCCGGTTATGAAAAAAAAGGGGAAGGGAAAACTAGGGCGCAGTCAAGGTTTTCAGTTTTAAATGTGTTTCAGTCACGGTTTTGCGAATTTTGCTCCAAATCGAGGAAAACCATGAATGTATCCCACCCAGCTTTAGGGTTGGGTGGGGATGTGCTGTATTTGAGGGACGCCTGAAGTGGATTTACAACTGAAAACGTGACTGCGCCGTAGGTACCCCAAAAAGTAGTACACCCACGCTTTCACTGTTATGGTACTAGGCTGTCTGCCACCTTGCAGGTACATTCCGAAAGTGCTTGTCTGGGGATTCGGAAGTCGACCAGGGTAGCTCAGCACTTGTACAGAACCCCCCCCCCCCCCCCCCCCCCCCCCCCCCCCCCCCCCCCCCCCCCCCCCCCCCCCCCCCCCCCCCCCCCCATCCCTAGCCCTAGACAGAGAGCAGTCTTGGCATTTATGTTTGCATGGCGGGAGTAGAAATTTCTGTTCCACATTTTCAACACAAGGATACCTACCGTCTTCCCCTTAACACAACACACCCTCATTTTGACTGTGTGGAACCGGAAAGGTTGCTTGTATGCATTCATGATCAGGGTGTGTTGTGTTTGGGGGACGACAGTGGGGTGACGTCCCACTTGCCCACATTTCTTTCATTATTTCCGATTGTAAAAATTGCAAAAAAAAAAAAGAAAAGAAATGGACAATCCTTTTCTTTTTCATTTTTTTCTAAGAATCATCACTGAGGGGGGAGCCCTACCAAGAAAAGGACAATCCTTGCAAGCAGGACCTCATGCTCTGGAATCAGGCTCAGACTCTGAATAGCAGCCTATGCGATTATTTTTCTCCTTTTTCTCTTTTTTCCCCACCTTAAACACAGCCTGCGACCTGTACTAGGGGGGGTGGTAAGAGCAGCCCCTCCTAGTAGCCATCCCAGTTGACTTAATCTATTGGTGGGGAGCAGCACCTTCTGGAAACCGGGTCCAGCGTCCCTATACAGCATTTGTTCATCATCAGAAAGATCCACCAGCATTGATTGCCCCTGATTGCCCAGGGGGATTGACTGTGCGGTGAGAGTAAAAAGTGGATGGAAAGAGATGCCTCTTCACCCCACCACGGGCCGCCTAAACAGCCTTTCATTCCTAGCATCCTCTCTCTTCTTTGTGCAGTTGCCCAGAGGCAGTCCCAGAGATCTGACATCCTCCTAGATACACCAGGCTAGAAGAGGGGCCCTGTTCGAGTGGTGAAGAGGCACTTCTATCTCCGCAGCCTTCCTAACCGCTCAGTTAATCCCCCTGGGTAACCTGGGGTAATCAATGCTGGCGGAATGCTCTCGTGCTAGTCTTGTGAATGATCCTGTTGCACAGGGACGCTGGACCCGTTTTCCACCAGGTGCAGCTCCCTACCAATAGATGGAGCAGCCCGGGACAGTTACTAGAGGTGACTGCTCTTACCACCCCCTCTAGGAGTGATCATCCCAGGCGCCTGCCATTCTCTTGCTTAGTGTCTGCGTTGTCCCAGACTCCTGGCAGTATATGACCACCGGCGGGGCTCCATCTACCCCCCGGGGGCATTGGGGGTACAGTTCGCCCCATGAATATCAGGTGGGGGGTTCAACCAAAGAGAGGGGGTGAGGCGGGAAAGGGTCCAGGAAATCAGAAGGTGGTCTTCAAAGCATCATCTTCGGAGCGTGGAGCCCAGAGGTGACCAAGGTCCCTTCCTACACGGATCAGACCATATTGACTGTTGATTTTCGTTATCTTCGGCAAGTCTCTCTTAATCTTCACAAACGGGACCTCGCCTTGGGGCCCAAATTCCACTAGCTGCGTTGAGTTTCCTCAACACCCGAATTTGGACGTGCTTGTGGGGATGTGCAGAAAACCACGTAGAGTTTCCTCTACCGCACCTCTCCACAGACATGTGCAGATTCGGGCGTTGAAGAAACTCAACGCTGCGCATGAGACTTGGCCCCAGTGATGATAAGAGCGTCCTCAGGACCCAGGGTGACTCCCTTTAGATGAGTCAAAATCTTATTATTATTATTATTATATTATTATTATTATTATTATTATTATTATTATTATTATTATCATTATTATTATTATTAGCCATGGTTGTCTTCAACTGCCGCTCCTTGGAGCCAAGATGTTAATATATATCTTTATAGTATAAGGCTGCATGATTACATATTTTCATGGGCTCTTTGGCCCTTGCAGCCGCAGGGTCAAATGGATGAGTCAGTTCTCGCATAGGAACCTTCTTCGCGGACGGAGTCTCTGAAAGGACTCCTTCGTCATACAATTGTAGATAGTGATTCCTTTGATTTGAAGTCTGTCCGACCAGATTTCTGATTTCCTCTTTTGTATATCATCCCATTCAGACATTAATTTGACCCTCTTCGTTCCCCATACTGGATTAGATATGGGGTGACTAGCCATTCTCATTTCTGCGTACTCAATTTTATGCTGTGGGGACTCTTCTTGAAAATTTCGGTTAGCAGCCAAAATTCGTGAAAATACTGACAATAGATTAGAGAATATGCGGGAACCCCCTTCCCACCACTCTGAGGAGGAGCTGTACATTTCTAGAGCATCATGCCAGCCAGACCAAAATTTCCTCATCCAATCCACCAATCCTTCATCTGTTAAGTTCTGAGTGTTGAACCTGAAAAGGCCCCGACCTCTTAACAGTGTTGAAGACAACACAGTGAGCATCACCGGTTTATGATCTGAGGGGGGGTTGGGTTTTTCCGTTGCATTCAATACAAATTCGCACAAATTTTGCGAAATTAGGAAGGAATCCAATCTTCGACTCACTACTCCCGCATCACTTCTCGGATTTGAAAACCACGTACATCCCTCACATTCCGGTTGAGATAACCGGTATGGATCGAGCAGCTCCAATGAGGTCATTAACTTAGTTAAGGCTAGCTTATCCCTCGGACAGTCGGAACTCTGGGAGGGGTTGGAGATGTCCATAGAGGAATTACAATCCCCAGCTACAATCAGGCGATCACAACTTGGGATGACATAACGCAAGTCTTCAGAAAAGGTGCGGTGTAGGTTGGGGTCAAATGGAGCATATACCGAGGTAATCAACCGGTATTGGTCCTGGATTCACAGTTTGATCCAAGCCCATCGTCCCCAGAGATCCAAGTAATAATCGACAATTTTTACGTCTAAATTTCGATGTACTAGGATCCCTACTCCTCCTCTTGTGCCCACAGCAGGGGACCACAATTGAGGATCATCCCACCAATTCCCAATAAAATTAATTATATCTTCATTTAACTTCGTTTCTTGAAGACAGGCGATTTGAATTCCTTCTTAATGAATCCAGGACTTTAGTCTTTCTTTCTTAAATCTTCTTGACGTATCTCATAACCCACGCATATTCCAACTGAGGAATTTGATCTTAGTCATGCATTGGACGAGGTTCTCGTAGTGTGTTGGATACGGGGTTGCAAGGGGAGAGCACCATCGGTCGACCAGACGGCGCGGAGATAGGACCGAAGGAACTAGGAGCCAAGTTTTGAATTCTTAGGGAGGCGCCTTTCCAATTCCAACAGACACTTAGCTGATTTCAAAGGTGGGATACGAATTCGAAGCTGATTTCAGAGGTGGGATACGAATTCGATAGAGTTCCTGTTTTCGTTTCTCCTCGATCCACGTCAGTGGGATAAGCCGAAGGCCTTCTTCTTAGCAAGGCTTGAAGTTATCTCGTTGCAAAGCACACGTCCATTAGAGGTACAAAGAATTTAATTCTTCTCCCCGGCTGATCAGGGTAATCGACCAACAGTCTCACCATAATTATATCAGGTATGAAAAAGTGGGAAGATAAGGGTACTAATACCATCAAAATAAAGAAAAATACCTCTTCAGTCCATCAAGACCGCCAGATCTAAAAATAACATACAAGCATCTTTCCTTTGATATTTAATCCCCCTCCCCCCCCCCCCCCCCCCCCCCCCCCCCCCCCGCCATACCATTGTAATTCAACTGAGGCTAATTCAGAAGGGGGAAATAGGTATAAGAAAAACACTGGAGATCTTAGCAAGGCTCCCGGTTGAAGTTGGAACCAGTTCCGGAATATGAGTTGAAAGTCCCTTTTGAAGGACCCTTCATCCCCTTCCTCCCCTAGCCATATCACTTCACCCAAGCCCGCTTTTGCAGATCCCCCCAGCCAATCCTTTTCAAATTGTCGGATTGAATATTGAATATCATTCTTCTGCTGGAATTTGCCTAGTTTAAATGAAAGATTTGACCAATGATATATAATTTTTTTTGTACAAAATTAACAATCAGCTCTCTTAATTTTAATCCTTCCAGCCCCACTCCCTCTCTCTCCCTAACACAACGCTTATACCATAATGTCCATATCATTGCCTTGCTACCTATCTCTTTTTTTTTTTGCTCGAAGTTAAACAATTGCAATCTTTGGGGAACCCAATGACCCAAGAGAATGACTTTCCAATCCCAGAAACAATCAATTCCTGTTAGGCCTTTCCATATGCAATCTCATCTTCTCCATAGCGGTACTGATCTAGAACATTGCATAAAAATATTCTCAATAGTTTCTCTGAATTTTCTGCTCATAAAAGCTAAAAGACAGGATTTGCACCGTGGAGTAGTCAATCCTCTCTATTCGAGTGTGGAACGATCTATCAACTAATCATTTGTAGGCAGATATCGATGTACTATCTGTCATTGTAAAGAGGAAAATTTAGCAGGTCATTGTTTGAGATTTTTGAAAAATTTAATGTGTTTAATCGAATTTATCGCAATATTAAAATGTATGGTCCATCTTTCATGCAAAATTGTCGCAATATCCACTTTTGGGCGAAAAAGGCGATAGGCTGCTTTAACTGACAATGAATGAAGATGTCTAGGTTCCCCTCTCTTGCTAGTCTTTCAGACCATTCATTCTGGAATGGGGCGTTCGGGATGAAAGGCCCTCCACCCTCTGATGGAGGATACATACATTACTCGTATCCTATAAATGCAGTCAGAAAGAAAG